GTATATAATTACTGCCATAAATATTAATGCTTTATAAAATATAATAGCCATGAAATATGATCGTTGTTGAAAAAATATAAATAAATATTTAAATAATTTAGTTAACACAGTTAATCGAAACTCTTATTGCACTACGAACTAAGAAGAAGTATTTTTAATTACCATGACAAAATTTCAGACATTATCATCATTTATTTGTTCTAAAAATAAATTTTGAGAAACTTACTTCCACATAATTTTATGAAAAATTTTAATTAAATGTTCGAAAACTTTTATTACATAGTGCTTTGTCATAAATGCATTGAGACACAATGCACACCATCTTTCCCCTCATAAATACATAAAATCCGACTGATTTGAAATGTAGCGATTCATATACAATAGAGTTTTGAAATACATAAAAAATAATATATAATGAAAGAAACAAAGAAAACAGCATAATTTATTTTTAAAGTATTTAAACATAATGTGATGCTAATCTCAATGTAATGTCAATTTTTTTGTAGTAAAAAAATAATATAAATTTAATGTCTATGTGTTTTACATAAATAAAAAAGACAACGAATGGAGAGCTTCGAACTCACAACCACTAAGTAGTAAGACCGGCCCAGAGTTATATCTAAGATTGAATTACGCATGTTCGAATATTTTCAAAGTTATATTGTTTACATGTTTAAGCCAGCTGCTGTTGAATAAAATTAACCTTTAAGAAGGTAAATTTGTATTTCACGTCTATATTTTCAACACCTTTACTTTTTATGCAAACTTTATTGAAAAAAAAAAAATCTCTGTCAATTCTCTTTTTATCGGTCAGGAGTTGGTCTCATTCGTCAGAGATGGTCTCGATCTTCAATCGAGAGTTTCAAGGCTGCCCTGGCACCCGCTAGGAGCGGTTAGGCAAGCCTCATCGTTTCCCAAACCGTTGCACATATGCCAGTACTTGGTTGCAGCAACGTAGCCTATCAGAATCAGAATCAGAATTCGCCAGGGATGGTCTCCTTCGTCAGAGATGGTCTTATCCGTCAGAGCGGGTCTCAAATCCTCAGAGTCGGTCTCATTCGTCAAATATTTCGAACGGGTTCGACCGTAAAACAATGGCCACTTGCCACGCGGAGGGTCTTTCTTTAGGGTCACGATGCCAGCATTTCTGAATGAGCTCTCTCCAGGAATCAGGAGGGGGCTGTGCCATCGTCAGACTTGGCCGCCATCCGTCTTTTACAGCGTCCTTTGCATAGAATTTAAAAAAAAAGTTATCGCCTTTAGGAAAAAAAAAATCATTCCATAACAGTCGTTAAATTTTATTTTCTAAGATAAATTTAATCACATCTCATTGTTCTTCCATTTCCCATTAGTTATATATCACACATGTGCAAAAATAACCCATCACTTTTATACCTTTACAGATCGGTAATTGACAAAGTTTTTTCACCACTCGATTTGACCATATTAACTTGCTATCATATATTATACGCTTTTCGTCCCTTTGGTATACATTTTAGGCGGGACACCTACAGTCGTCTCGCGTTACACACCAGCGTGCCACGAGCAAACACAAGCAATGCAACAACTTCATATGACAGCAGTGAGAAATAAATGTACACACTCTATGTCTGTACAAACATACATCAACATGTGTACAAACGTGTGTATTATGTACGCACATCAAAGGAGCCGGAGATGTCACGTTCGATAAAGTGTACCAATTCCGTGCCATACCACAGCGACCAGACAATCAGCGCCAAACTGTTGATGGTTAAAAAAAAAAGGTTGATAATTATTTTGGACTACAGGTAGAGTAGGGTTTGTCATCACTACGACCAGAAAACCTAACATCGCTTTGCGTAATGTTCCTATTTTTAGACAGATTTTTTTTTCTCTCGCAAAACCTAGCTTCTAACAATATAATTCCGCAGATATGCGGCAGTAACAATTGGTTTGTTAAAATCTTTCGTATAAAAACGTTGTAAACACGTTTTCGTCTAGGTTGAGACCCTTTATGCTGGCTCACAATAACGCAGAAGTACCGAACAGCTGTTGAGAGATTGGCCAAACGTAATGCCAGAATGTTTTATTATTATCTTAATGAGGTTGGCCGTGCCGTACGCCCGGTTAATCTACTAATAGACTTCCGCCGAGAAATGACACATACCCTAGAAAGCCAATCATCAATCTATTTTCTAGAAGTCAAAAGCATCATCGCAAAGGTAATGCATGACATATGCAAGTGTTACGGTGCTTTACAAAATAGTTTAAATTAACGGTCAGTGGTGTTAAATACGTTATATTGGGCAATATAAGATCATACTTATAACGTGACATTATTAATCAAAATAATAATCTACAAGATGTAGCCCGCCAAACATTGGCGACAGCAATGCTTGAACTTCCCATCTGCTAAAATTACTTGACAAAAACATGAACTTAGTAACCCACATTTTAGAATCCCAATATTTGCTGCAGCCCTTCCCCCATGATACGTCACTGCACACTTTTTATTTCACGCCCATGTACTATATTAAATCTTCTGATGTCCCAACCACTTTGAAACCGAATATTTGTTTTTTATACAATACTTAAATTGAAACGATTTCAAATTCCGAAAAGAAAATAGTACGCACCAAACGCAGTTGCGTTATTTAAAAAAAAAGAAAGAAAATCATTTTGCATTATAGTTATCGGAAATGATATTTTGCGCGATAGTGAACTCATTATTGAACCATACTTTCTTTCAAACACATGCAATTATTTGTAATATACTCTCAATGCCAAATACGTTGAATAGGAAGCAGCCACAAACGTAAGCAGCCACAAACGTAAGCAGCCACAAACGTAAGCAGCCACAAACGTAAGCAGCCACAAACGTAAGCAGCCACAAACGTAAGCAGCCACAAACGTAAGCAGCCACAAACGTAAGCAGCTGACGAGTCACACCAGAAGCGTAATATATATAAGAGTATTAAACAGAAACTCGTTCCTCTCCCCCATAGACAGCGACGAGGCCATGACAGGCAATTCAGGCTCATACCAACAAGAAGCCAGTATAGGAGCTGCTCATTCCTGCCCAAGACAATCAGGGACTGGAACCATCTTTCAAAAGGAACAGTTGAGGCGACAACACTAGACACATTTGTGTCTATTGACTCAAACCTTCAAACCCCTAGTGCATGATTTCCTCATCAACACCAGTAACAGAAACATTGCAAATCCCATCTACATGCATAGGAGCCAAAATGATCAATAAATTGATCGTGGGCCCTTAAGATATAGAAGAAGAAGAAGATGCAGCGACGACGCCGATTTCAATTTTTTTTTAAAAAGTGCTCGATAACTGAGCTAAATGAGAATCTTAAAATTACAAGAGCGTTTGATGCGTAATATTTTCCTTTAGTTCGATGGAAATAGTCTAAATTTAAATATGGTTTTATAAACCTGTGGTATCAAAAGTGATTGGACATTACAATATTAATATTGCTCAGAATCGTGCACAAAGTGTGCGGTGGTGAGCTTTGAGGAAGGGGGGGGGGTGGGAGCACTTCTTGGGCTTCTTATAAGACGAGTAACTTGCTTGCTTGTTTTGAAAAGTAAATTTAGTAGATGGGGAGTTCACATATTTCCGCGGCAATTGTTTGCCAAGTGATAACTACTGATGTCATTAATCTGCATTGTGTAAAAGAGGGAGGGGGGGGGGGACATTCGAATACTAATACAGTTCAAGGGCGTTGGCGAACCGTGGGTGGGGGTTGCACTAATTAGGGTTCTTATAAAGTCGTTTTTTTTTTGTCTTTTTTAAATGTGTCAAATAACTTTAGTAAATGAGAAGTTCACGCACTGGGTCCACCATTGTATTGGCATGGCTAGAGCAAGTAGTAATAATAATAATATAATAATAAAAACAACATCGCGTTAACAACTATTATATAATATCATATTATTAGTAATATTATTATTATTATCATTATTTAACCATGTTTGGTTTAATTAATTTTTATTTACTATCATTAGCAACATGATATATCCAATGTTTGCACAATCAACGCTCTACTGAAAGGCGCACATTTAACACTTTATAAAAAATATATATTAAACATAAATAAACACATAAAACAACGTGTGCAATGATTGTGCGCGTTCATTTCTTTGTGTTGGCCCGCTTACCTGTAAATATCTACTTTTGTGTCGTACTTGGCCCCGACGTGGAAAATCTCTGGCGCCATGTGTTGGCCCGCTTACCTGTAAATATCTACTTTTGTGTCGTACTTGGCCCCGACGTGGAAAATCTCTGGCGCCATGTACGCTCTCGAGCCCACTTGACTGGACGCAGGCTTGAACATTTTCTTGGCCAGGCCGAAATCAGCTATCTTTATCGTCTCTCTCCCGTCTTTGATCGCAATCTGAAATTTAGGTGCGTTTCTAGTTTTAGTATTTTGTATTAGTTGAACTCAGAGCTATCATGTCCAACGAATTGAACGATTTGGAGCTATCATCTCCAACGAAATGAACCATTTGGAGCTATCATCTCCAACGAAATGAACCATTTAGAGCTATCATGTCCAACTAACTGAACCATTTAGAGATATCATGTCAAACTAACTGAACCATTTGGAGTTATCATGTCCAACTAACTGAACCAGTTGGAGCTAACATGTCAAACTAACTGAACCATTTGGAGCTACCATGTCCAACTAACTGAACCATTTGGAGCTATCATCTCCAACTAACTGAACCATTTGGACTTATCATGTCCAACTAAATGAACCATTTGGAGCTATCATCTCCAACTAACTGAACCATTTGGAGCTATCATGTCCAACTAACTGAACCATTTGGAGCTATCATGTCCAACTAACTGAACCATTTGGAGCTACCATGTCCAACTAACTGAACCATTTGGAGCTATCATGTCCAACTAACTAAACCATTTGGAGCTATCATGTCCAACTAACTGAACCATTTAGAGCTATCATCTCCAACTAACTGAACCATTTGGAGCTATCATTTCCAACGAACTGAACCATTTAGAGCTATCATCTCCAACTAACTGAACCATTTAGAGCTATCATCTCCAACTAACTGAACCATTTAGCGCTATCGTCTCCAACTAACTGAACCATTAAGAGCTATCATCTCCAACGAACTGAACCATTTAGAGCTATCATCTCCAACGAACTGGACCATTTAGAGCTATCATCTCCAACTAACTGAACCATTTAGAACTATCGTCTCCAACTAACTGAACCATTTAGAGCTATCATCTCCAACTAACTGAACCATTTAGAGCTATCGTCTCCAACTAACTGAACCATTTAGAGCTATCGTCTCCAACTAACTGAACCATTTAGAGCTATCATCTCCAACTAACTGAACCATTTAGAGCTATCGTCTCCAGCTAACTGAAACATTTATAGCTATCATCTCCAACGAACTGAACCATTTAGAGCAATCATCTCCAACGGACTGAACCATTTGGAGCTATCATGTCCAACTAACTGAACCAGTTGGAGCTAACATGTCAAACTAACTGAACCATTTGGAGCTATCATGTCCAACTAACTGAACCATTTGGAGCTATCATGTCCTACTAACTGAACCATTTAGAGCTATCATGTCCAACTAACTGAACCATTTGGAGCTACCATGTCCAACTAACTGAACCATTTGGAGCTATCATCTCCAACTAACTGAACCATTTGGAGTTATCATGTCCAACTAAATGAACCATTTGGAGCTATCATCTCAAACTAACTGAACCATTTGGAGCTATCATGTCCAACTAACTGAACCATTTGGAGCTATCATGTCCAACTAACTGAACCATTTGGAGCTACCATGTCCAACTAACTGAACCATTTGGAGCTATCATGTCCAACTAACTAAACCATTTGGAGCTATCATGTCCAACTAACTGAACCATTTAGAGCTATCATCTCCAACTAACTGAACCATTTGGAGCTATCATTTCCAACGAACTGAACCATTTAGAGCTATCATCTCCAACTAACTGAACCATTTAGAGCTATCATCTCCAACTAACTGAACCATTTAGCGCTATCGTCTCCAACTAACTGAACCATTAAGAGCTATCATCTCCAACGAACTGAACCATTTAGAGCTATCATCTCCAACGAACTGGACCATTTAGAGCTATCATCTCCAACTAACTGAACCATTTAGAACTATCGTCTCCAACTAACTGAACCATTTAGAGCTATCGTCTCCAACTAACTGAACCATTTAGAGCTATCATCTCCAACTAACTGAACCATTTAGAGCTATCGTCTCCAGCTAACTGAACCATTTATAGCTATCATCTCCAACGAACTGAACCATTTAGAGCAATCATCTCCAACGAACTGAACCATTTGGAGCTATCATGTCCTACGAACTGAACCATTTGGAGCTATCATCTCCAACGAACTGAACCATTTAGAGCTATCATCTCGAACGAACTGAACCATTTGGAGCTATCATCTCCAACGAACTGAACCATTTAGAGCTATCATCTCCAACGAACTGAACCATTTAGAGCTATCATGTCCTACTAACTGAACCATTTGGAGCTATCATCTCCAACGAACTGAACCATTCAGAGATCTTATTATTATCAAATAATGTGAAATATTTCGAAAGCTTGCTACCTCCGCAGACACGCGTATTCTTTCTGTGCCCAGAACACCCTCGAAAACGTATAGTGAACGATCCTTCTCTTTCTGTGCCCAAAAACAATGGAATTCTCTTCCATTACACATTACGCAACATAATGAAGATCCTAGGCCTTTAAAACTGCCCTCAAGAAACATCTCTACAAAATATAATATACCGACTCATCCTCACCCGCCTCTAACTGGTAAACAATGCCGGATGCTGCTGGGCGTTGTCCATGGTTAGACCAGGGGGGGGGGGGCTAGATAGCACTTGGGTGGGTGACGTCACGTTTTTTACCAATTGTTGTTTTTAAATGTATAACTTTCTGTAATGGCTAATTTTAATGTGAAGCGCGGTGAGCCTAGCCCCTAGGCTGGAGTACTGCGCTATAAAAATCCAGCCCTATCATGATAAAATCAGTTCATAGGTTTCTACAAGGTAACACATCCGTTCCATGTTTACTTTATTGTGGGCGTCCGCTCATAATCTGTAACGATTTAGATCAAGCTTCTCAGGCGAAAATCGAATGACCACTACTTCAAAATGAACGACGTAAGCGTTATTGTGTGCACCGAATGCCTAGGAGCTCGGATTTATGACATATACATTCATATAAAAAGACACAGGACCAGGAGGGACGCGACTAATATGATGACAAATGATTAAGCAAACAACTAAATATGATGAATCTACATAAAATGTTCACACTACGACAGAGATATTTCTTTAAAAAAATCTTAATTTCTTTAAAAAAATTAATCATTAATATTAAAAAGACTGACCCCTACCTACCCCCACCCCCCACACACACGCGCACACACACACTCACTATTCACTCAAAGTCACTCACTAAAATATTTTCAGGCTTTAGATCCCTGTGAGCGATGGATTTGTGATGGAGGTATTCGAGCCCAGAACACAGCTGTAATAAGTAATCCGTTACTTTGAAAAAGGTGTCCATGAATTGGCCTTCAGCTGTGTCTCGTCTGTAGGAGCTTGGTGGGTCAGTGTTGACGATTAAAGACTAGCAGAAGCAAATAGTTTTTTTTGTTGTTGTTGTTTTTTTTTTACATCAGAAACGAGTTAATAAACTACTTAGATGTTTAGATTAAAAATTAATAATAGTATCGTGAAAAAGAAATGTTATGTGAACCTTTACATTGTGAACAATCGCCCTGGGTACAATTTTAAGGGATATAAAATGGAACTTTGTTTTTCTTAACTCTGAAATGATCTTTAAATCATATGGATGATAAAAGATTCACCAAGAAAATGATAGTATCTTCCCATGTGTGTGTTTTTTAATGATGGTTTATTACTAAATGAATCACATGGTAACATTTGGTTAGTATTGTGATGAATCAATTTTAATGGTAAATGAGTATATACACAGAATGTTGACACTTTCATGAGAGACCAAGACCTTGGAAACAGTAGAGGTTTCCGACCTAAAGACGGAAGAGGTCTCCGCCTTCAATTCAGAATAAATCTCCGCCTTAAGGACAGAAGAGGTCTCTACCTTAAAGACAGCAGAGGTCTCCGCCATAAAAACAGAAGTGGTCTCCGCCTTAAAGACAGAAGAGGTCTCCGCCTTAAAGAGAATGGAGGTCCTCGAAATAAAGATAGTACAGTTCTACGTAAACCGCGACGATCTAAAAGGATATTTATTTTGCTCAATTGACTTAATACATAATTTAGTGCAGATAGTTAGCCCTTTAACGTGATGGTGTAAAAATACAGGTTCTTGATTAGAAATGTATTCTAAATAATAATGTGTGTACGTCTATTCTTTTAGTGTACCAAAGACATTGCATTAATCCATTGAAAAAGAAACGAGAGAATTAAAAGTGAAAATGACGTCTCCTTCATTTCGTCGCAAAAAGTATGAAAATTGATTTTTGTGAAATTTGTGTTTCTTTGAAAGGAAAATAGCCAAAATTTTAAAATAAATAAAAACGTAAAATACAAATTTGGAAGTAGTATTATATGTGTGAAAGTGGATTTTATAGCGTATCTGTATTAGGCATTAGAAAGCCTGCAAGAAGATTACAGACAATGATTTTTTTAATCACCAGAAATCTCGTTTTAAAATCTCGTTTTTAAATCTCGTTTTTTAAATCTCATTTTTTAATCTCACTTTTAAATCTCGCTTTCAAATCTCGTTTTCAAATCTCGTTTTGAATTTCATTTTTTAAATCTCGTTTTTAAATCTCACTTTTAAATCTCGCTTTTGAATCTCGTTTTCAAATCTCGTCTATAGTTTTTACCATCATTGTTTTTTCGCAGTACTCCATGACGAAAACCAGCCTCATGTTTTGTTCTGCTCCTGTGCGGTAGACGCCGTAATATTTGATAATGTTCTCATGTTTCAGTTCTCTGTAGATATCCCAGAAAGAAAAAAAAGAAATAGATTCAGATTAATGCATATATTCAAACTTTATTAAGAAATGGCACAAAGAAGTTTTTTAAAAATTATTTTAAATTTCATTAAAATAATTAATTCTTTAACTAGTTTAATCTTTACAACGGTAAAACCGCAAAGAATTGAGCAACGACATCCCCCCACCCCACTCCCCGGATGAACCCATGGATGGGACATGGAGGAATAATAATAATAATAATAATAAAGTGTATTTCAAAAACACGCTTCATCCCCAAAGGCTCGAAGCGTGGTACAAGAGTAAAAACACTACAAAAACTAATTACAAGCATACAATGTCAAAGTCTTTCAACCCATTTCAACCGTGAGCAACACAGGTAATATGCATTAAATGGAAAATATGGTAAACAATCATCCCAGAAGGTGTTTGCGAAATAAATGTGTCTTTAAATCGGTTTTAAAGGACTCCAGTGTCTGATTGTTTCTGAGATCGACTGGAAGGGCGTTCCAAATTGTTGGACCAGCAAATGCGAAAGTGCGCTTTCCGCAAGTCTCAAGGCGAACACGTGGTGTCAAGAGTTTGCCACTGTCGGATGAGCGGAGTTGTCTAGTGGGTACACAAGGCGTCAGCAGCTCTTCAGATAGGACGGCGCCAGGGTAGTGTTCAAATTCTAATTTCCTTTAAAAGGTCATTTTTATATATATATATAAATGTTCACCTGAGTACAGCGTCTTCCAAAATGGTGTAACTGATGTCCTCAACCGTCAGTGGATTCAGTGGAATTTTCACGGCCACCTGTTGGTCGACACTTTCCAGTCGAAGCGTTGCTTTACAAACGCTGGCAAACTGACCCCGGCCAATTTCGTTTTGGACTCTGTCAAGTAGAAGCCAATTTGCAAACATAATTATTTGTTAAAAGGTATACATTTATTATAAATTATAATAGCGTGGTCACCTTTGACCCATCTCCCAAGGGCCATACCAGCGCCTAACCAAGATCGCAAAGGTAAAATCGTAAACTTGTTCATTGACCGGACTAAAGGAGACCATTTGTATTAATAAAAAAGGACTTAGTGTTTTTATACTTTGTAGTTTAGTCTACACTATGTCGTCTAGTCTATATACTGCGTATTTTAGTCTATATAAGGTGTAGTTTAGTCTATATCAGATGCATTTTAGTCTATGTAAGGTGTAGTTTAGTCTATGTAAGATGTAGTTTAGTCTTTGTAAGGTGTAGTTAAACTTGTAAACTGTGTATTTTAGACAAAATAAGGGGTAGTTTAGTCTATGTATGGTGCAGTTTAGACTATGTGAGGTATAGTTCAGTCTATGTAAGGTGTAGTTTAGTCTATATACTGCGTATTGTAGTCTATGTAACTTTATATTAGTCTATAAACTGTGTATTTTAGTCTATATACATGTAGTTTAGTCTCTATAAGGTGTATTTTAGTCTATATACGGTGTAGTTTAGTCTATAATAAGGTGTATTTTAGTCTAAATACTGCGTATTGTAGTCTATGTAACGATATATTAGTCTATAAACTGTGTATTTTAGTCTTTATACACGTAGTTTAGTCTATATAAGGTGTATTTTAGTCTATATACTGCGTAGTTTAGTCCATAAATATATTCCGTTAACATGTTTGAGACACGCTTCAACTAAGCCTCTTTCACCTTAACTTTGTTCATTATTTCGCTGAAAGTTTCTCTCATTTCTAGAATTAAAAAAAAAAAGATCCCTCGAACGCGGCACGTCACCTACATCAGCTGCCTCTCAGCAAAGTCTGTCTCCATCAGCCGTACTGCGAAGTACTGATCGAGCTGCCCTTGAAGTGACCCACATTTCTGATCAGCCGATGTGATGACGTCCGTCTTCCCCCTGCATTCGTCGAGCTCCACTCTCAGCAAAGCTTGGTCTGCCTCCAGTATGTTCGGTATGTAGCTGCCCACCCTGTCAGTCGCGGTGACAAGTCTGGACCAAGAAGACATCATAATTTATTCTTGAAAAAGGGTGTGAGGTTGCAGTTGTATGGTAAAAAAAATTACGTGTGGTAAGACGTGGGGGTAAGACATTAGGTAATACATGTGGTAAGACGTGTGGTAAGACGTGTGGTAAGACGTGTGGTAAGACGTGTGGAAAAACGTTTGGTAAAACGTGTGGTAAGACATGTGGTAAGACGTGTGGTAAGACGTGTGGTAAGAAAGCACTACAATTTTTTAGGGCTAATTATGAAAAGATCGTTTCGGAATCAAAGGGAACACCATCTCAAATGAATGAACATACATTTTATATTTATATATATATATATAACGAGACTGGATGTTGAGCAATGCTGTACAATAGAGTGCCTCTAAGGTTTTATTGTACTTTAGGGATTTTTCCGATCACATGCAGTATAATAATGGTTACATCCTCACTCATTTATTAGCTAAACCACAAAATACTGCGTATTCTCGTATATGCGAAGTCCCTCAGAACATCGGTTCTCAACATTCCTAATTCCGCCACCCTTTAATACAATTCCTAATGTTATGGTGATCCCCAAGCATAAAGTTATTATCTTTGATATCTATGGAGTATGTGTTTTCCTAGGGTTATAGGTGACCCCTGTGAAAGATTGTTCAAACCTTAAAGGAGTCGCGACCCACATGTTGAGAAACGCTGCCTTAGAAGCTTTTAGAAATTGAAAATATATGAAACCTCAACCAAAACTGAAAATATAAACGAAAAACACAAAATACTAGAATAGCGTCCATGTTTTGTTTTGTTTTAAATATTTTTTTTAAGCTACCGTACATTTTTTGTGTGGATCTATTATTATATTTCCCTACAAATATAACTATTAATTCCAAATCCTGTATTTCTTTAACGTAAGACGCGGTTAGAACTCTTGAGACTAGCGTTATATCTCCGGACATACCTTTTGAAAAAGCCCTCTAAATATACAGCGATGGTATCGGCTGTGAACTGTTGGAGGTACGTATCTACGGCTTGTCTCATTGCCCGGGCTGGATCGCTCTTAAAGTCTTCTTTAAACGTCTTTACCGACCTCACATCGAGATCTAGACGGGAGACCAGGATAGCTCCGATGCTGGGGGAGCGTAAGAGATTATTTGGTTAGAAACTGGAAACGGCTTGCACAAAAGTGAAAATAATAACTATACACGAGGCCTACATGATCTTGTGTTTTGTATGGACAACGGGTGACATGGTCACTTCGTGGTACATCAGAATAGAAGGGCTAAGTGAAGGTGGCCACAGCATGAAGCTAAAGAACCCGGGAGGCGCACCGAAGACTGAAGAACTCCTTTAAAGATGGGCTCAGGCAACGCAATACCATGCAGGGACGTCATTTGGCCAGGACAGAGTGGGGCATTTGCCCACCCCGCTGGATTTGAAGATTTTATTTAAATTGCTATGCACTGAGGCACCTAAAGTAATACACAGCTTAACAAGCCTACCAAGTTTTGATTTTGCCCCCCCCCCCTTTTTTTTTGTTGTTGAAAAAAACTCAGGACAGAGGGGGGCATTTGCCCACCCCGCTGGATTTGAAGAGTTTATTTAAATTGCTATGCACTGAGGCACCTAAAGTAATACACAGCTTAACAAGCCTACCAAGTTTTGATTTTGCCCCCCCCCCCTTTTTTTTTGTTGTTGAAAAAAACTGAAATGACGCCCCTGTGCAAATACCTGAGTGGAAGCTAAACGTTCAGACTGTGTAGGACTGTGGCAAGGACAAAGTGACTTTTTGATGTGGAGCTGCCTCAGTCTGCCTTCTCCATTAGTGGTCCGGGAACAGGCTAGTGGAGAACAGGGTCACTGCTACTTGTTTTATGAGTGGATCCCCTCTCGTGCCAATGTCGGGGGACAGGTTGGTAGGAGAGAGGATCGACTCTAGCTGGCCTTGACCGCATAAAAAAACCTAGCCATCAGGTTCGTGTGCAGTCCGTTGCGAGCAACACCCAAGGCAGCCGTAGATATTCTGTCAGACAACGTAGAACCACCTGGCAATAGGACAGACAAAGACATCCTAACGACGGTGGAACGATACCGACGTATGGGGGAAAAAGAACCCTGTTTTCAGTTACAAGACCGGTGGATAAAGATGACAAGAATAAAAAGAACCCCCTTCATTGATGGGGTACACTCACTTGAGAGTAATCACCCTTTATCGGAAAAAATAAAGAAAAGCTATGCACTTGTTCCAGGAGCCATCACAAACGAATGCATTGACTACGTCTTACGTCTTACGCTGGGAAATACGGCAGTTTCAAAGTCGAGTCCTCTTTATGTTGGAAAAGATGACGATTGATTTACAAGCCTACATGGACACCATCGAAAATAAGCTGGATTAGGCGCACTCGTACATTGCCCAAAAGGTGCCTCCAACAGAGGAGATTACATGGCCGAGTGGGAAGAGAGCACAATTTGCGATGCAGCCATCGAAGCTGATCGCTGCAGAGTAGCGAGATGATAACAACTTCCGTCCATAGTCGTGTTACCCGACCCACAGCTGGTCTTCAAGTCTGTGAGGAGAAAGGGGATCAACAGACACGAAAATGGTTAACTCAACAATGGACATAATACAAGACATAAGGTCGCCTGGGGGCAGAGTGGTCCTCTAATGGATCCCTGGACATGCGGGATTACAATGAAAGAGATGACTCTCTAACCAAGCAAGGATCTGCCCAGCCTCAAACAAGCTGAACGAAAATCCAACTGGGGATTAAAGTGTGGTAAACAACCTCTTCCGAAAGGAATGGCAATAACATATGAGGGAAAACAGTGTGTGTGTGTGGGGGGGTGGTTATGAACCGTAAATCTTACCGGAACATGCCACACATCCAAATAGGAAAAGGAATCAATGTTGTAAACTAAAACCCTAGACCCCAGAGCCTTATCACCCAGATGAGAAACGAGAACACAGTCCCACTCTAACCTGCTTATATAGGTTTCATCCTCTTAGTGACCACAGTTGCCGTCATGTCAGACAGGCTCCATAGACGGTAGGTGCACTTGTTAGAAAATACCGGGATACCAAATTGAATAGTAATCAGATGTTTTCCATTGACAACATCTCTCGGTTTTAATAACTTATCTTGTCTAACCTGTAGTGAACCCGAGTCCTTTTCCTGCCCTGCTTTTCGGTCCTTGTAGTCCTGGTCACGTCAACAAAAATCCTCAGCTGATCGTCCTCCAACAATTTATCTAAGCACCGAAGTTGAACGTAAAACAAAGAAAAAGATTTAGTGGTGTGGTGATGCATGGGGAAAATGACAAGTTTTTTTTTTTTTGGTCCTTAGCAGACATTTCATCTGATCAATCTAACGCTTACTCCAATTGGCGTAGACAGCTGTGGGTGAAACGTCGTTTGTAATGTGCCTAATATTAATTTAAGCTGTTATATTTCAGTGGTCCTCAAACTCAGCCAAAAGAGCCAAAATATCAGCAGCGGGAACGATTACATTTTTAAAGAGCCCAATTTCTTTTCAAAAACATTTCAAGACCCATGCTGTTCAGGGTCAAAACCGATTTAGGGCCGACTGGTTGAGGCCGACTGGTTGAGGCCGACTGGTTGAGGCCGACTGGTTGAGGCCGACTGGTTGAGGCCGACTGGTTGAGGCCGACTGGTTGAGGCCGACTGGTTGAGGCCGACTGGTTGAGGCCGACTGGTTGAGGCCGACTGGTTGAGGCCGACTGGTTGAGGCCGACTGGTTGAGCCGCACTCGGGTCGCTAAAGAGCGCCGCATGCAGCTCGCGATATCACAGTCCAACACTTATTTTATTTAGCCGTATTTTCAAAAGAATCCCTACTATTATCTTTATTAACACAGACTGCTTATACTGAAACATCTTTAAAAAAAAAATTAAAACAGACACTAGGTACTTAAAAAAATTATTTTTTATTTTGTTTTCTTTGAACGGGGGATATAATGATATCAGCTAATTTAAATGTATTTATAATCTGCTGTAAAATTATAATTCTTACACTAAGAATCCTATAAACAATTCACTTAATTCCCCCCCCCCTTCCCCCCTTCCCCCGAATTTCTTACGGTATTAACATCGTGATCGTTTCTTTCAGGTTTCTCTCTCAAAAAAAAAAAGGGGGGGGGGCAAAAACAGCCCCACCTCCCCTTTAATTATTACTTCTCTTTCCTTCCCTCCCTCAGTCTCACGATCAAGAGATCTATGGTGATATACATTGAAACCCTGTTTAGCACAATAGCACCCTTCAATTGACCACTCACCTTTGACGATGTTCAACTGATCTTCAAACAGATTGAACTGCCGGCGAAACTGTGCCGTGATTTCGTCCAGCATTTCCTTCACCGACCTCCGCTCCCTCTCGAACTCATTGACCTCGTCGCAGACGGCCTCGGCGATGAGGGCGTTTGCCGTCTCGGCCTTTTTCACCCAGCGTCTTCTTTGCCTCACCGCCGTCCAATCGCAGCCTGCCGCCAGCTTACTTCTGCGTGAAGACATGCGCGGGACGTTAACTCATGGACACACAGTGGTCGTGAGATCGATTATTTCGCTACCATTGACCACCGTTTAAAAATGCTGGGTGGTGGAGTAGAATCAGTATAATATAATTTTGGAATAATTTTAGTTGTTAGTCCGTCGAAGTCGACTAGGACCATCGAGTCATCCGGTTAGGGGGGGGGTGGGTTACGGTGAGCTCGTAGGTGGCTTGCTAGACCGATCCGTGCTCGGAATGATCTCTGGCACCGCGGGCATGGGATAGTTGCTGCAGACAGTGACCTCATCTTGCTCTTTTAGTAAAATGAAGTGGCTTTCCCGCACCACTGCTCAATGAATTTTGAAATAAATTGAATAATTACAAAGGGTGTCGATGAGCTAGAGATGAACACGATTGATAAAGCGCTCTATGCGTAGGTCAAACAGTTTGTACAGCGTTGATTAAGAGACGAAATTCACCGCAGGGTATTAACCACATTCTAAATTTTACATAGCAGCAATATAAATCGTCGTTTTGTTGGGTTCATCACAGTACTTCCGGCTACTGCCTGACTCTTTAGTTTATTTATTTTTTTAAAATCTGAATGACTTGTGCCCAACCTTTTTCTTTTATATCTTTGAACAAAAAATTAGTTTTAAATCTATAACCTTACTTCAATAAATGTATAATTTTTCACCGTTCTGGGTAAATACTTATTAAAAAGGCGTATATCTAAGATAAATTGACTTCAATGTCCCAGAAAGCCACTTGAGAATATTTTGTCCACACTTTACTCACTATATTTTAAATAATTTCTAAATTTCCGCTTTTAGGATAAACTGATTTCGACCAAAGTCCCTAGAAACCCCCTATAGATAAGTAGATAGGACCATGTCAAATTGGCTTGCCATCCATTACTTGGCTGTCATGTTATTGAGTAATTGGTTAGCATAAAAACTTAAGATACATATGTGCATAGAAACATGGTAAAACTTTGCTTTATATAAAAGAAATATTATACAAATATCTATGTATAAATATATATATATATATATATATATATATATATATATATATATATATATATATATATATATATATATATATATATATATATATAAAACACACTATATAAAAAAAATAATATACATATATATATATATATATATATATATATATATATATATATATATATATATATATATATATATATATGTCTATATATATATATATAAATTGATATATATAAAACACACCTGATCTCATGTGAGTCCAGGTGACAAACCAATTCTTTTGCCGTCTGGTGGCTGAAAATCTTGACGTGTTTTTTGATCTCCTTCAGCAGGACATCCGATTGTTCCTTGATCTTCTTCATCTTCGCTTCCACCTCTTTGTACCTCCTCTTGTTGGTTTCCATACTGTCCGTTAGGACGCTTAAGGAAATGCGCAGTGAATGGCGAGACTTCTCCAGCAGTGCTGCTACATATCTAAATAACAATATAGATAAGAATATAAGCAAACAAATTGGAGAAAAAAACCGGTCCAAGCCACTAAAAAGTATAAAATAATTTAAAATGTATCACAAGAAAGTCTAAGCAGACGTGTAGATGAGCAACCTATGTAGCCAAATGATTTGAATAGAATGTGGATAAACTTAATATGATTTTAAAATTTAATTTAGAAAATATTTTGTTCAAAGACAATATTTTCGTAATGCATTGAAAGAAATAATAAATATTATTTTCTACTTTTTAATATTTTAGACACGTCATTGCTAGAAATTATTATTTTTTTTCAAACTTTAAAACGCATTTTTAAATTTTCTACTGTTAAGTAATGATAACTCGTTGTCGATGACAACACATTCTATCGGTATGTATATTATTGACTAAGAAATATCAGTTTATTTTAATCCCCACAATCCTAGAGTTCTCATATGACATCCACAAACCCAAACTTCTCACGACGTTCACTGAAAGAAGCAGACGCGATGTTCACGCATCTCAGACGCAATCTTTCATTCACCTACAACGCAGTCGATCAACTGAGCGATAGAATCCAATGTGTGAGCAATAAAAACAAAATTCGAGAAACAAGATGATTATGAGACATTAGTGAAAAAATCCGTCTTTGTCCCAGATCGTTTTTTGCTTTCTATGACATAAAAAGGACATGAACGGGACATGAACGGGTCATGAACGGGGCATGAACGGGACATGAACGGGACATGAACGGGACATGAACGGGACGTGAACGGGACATGAACGGGACATGAAGGAGACATGAAGGGGACATGAACGGGACGTGAAGGAGACATGAACGGGACATAAACTTGACATGAACGGGACATGAACGGGACATGAACGGGACATGAACGGGACATGAACGGGACATGAACGAACCTGTAATATATCCGTAGCCTGCCAGTCATTGTTCTTGGCAGCATCTGTCTGATCCCTTCTATCAGTGCCGCGTATTCCGAGCTTACCACACCATAATTAAGTCTTGTGATATTCTGTAAAAACAAATGTTTGAATCCAGCCGTTTTGGAATAGGGCGTCAAAAAAAAAAATGACCCCAACGCCGAGAAAAAAAGGCACCCCGGGGCAAAACCTGAAAATTCTGGGCATCAATATATTTAAAAAGGAATCACCCGTACTTCGAGCTTACCAAGCAATATTTTAGTTTTGTGATATTCTATAAAACAAAAGTATTTTTAAGTCTTTTTTTACCGACAACAAAACGGACCGTTCTAAAGTAAAAGTGGCACCCGAAGCAAACCCTGAATATAGCGGCAATAAAAATATTTTTTTTAAAACATCAACAACAAGAAAAGAAAAGAAATTGGTGCTCCTTTCTTTCCGAAAATTTATGCATAATTTTGTACAAGACCTCTTCTTCCAGGCAACCACCAAGCTCAACCTGGTGACAAAGTTGGCTTGCACAAGTTGGGGCGCGGGCGCAAGAACGCTTAGAGCTCTACTCCTAAGCAGTGTAAGGTCGGTGATGTATTACAGCATGCCAGTCCAATCCTTTGCAAGCAAGACCGCATTGGAAAAGTGTGGCCGAATACAGAACCAGGGTTTTGAGATTCATCTGTGGCGCTTTCAGGACCACCCCTACAGCTGCTGTAGAGGTCTTGGCCAATGTTGAACCGCTACAAATCAGGAAGGAAAAATCAATATTAAGTACCGTAGAGAGGTACCGGCGGCTGGACAAAAATGAACCAGCCTTCCAATTGCAGAATAACTGGGTTGGTGGCAGGCGACTAAAGAGGTCCTCATTCATGCACCAGGTCATGGAGCTGGAAAGGACAATCTACCTGCCCCAAAATAAAGAAAGGCTGACCCTAATACCAGTTAATCTGCTTTTTGCGGAACCCTCACGAACATCCATACATTTGGCCTTGACCGATGCAGCAGTGACGAAACGTAGCCCTGAACATGTTCAGAAAGTGGCTGCCCTTGAGACCATGGATGTGTTCACACAGATACCCGTGAAAGTGTTCACGGACAGCTCTGCCAATCTGAGAGAAAGAACTGCTGGGTATGGTGCGCTCATACTGTACCCAGCAGGAGGACCACCAACAGACGAACTCTCGGGATCCTGTGGGACTGCAGCATAAAATTTGTATGTGGAGCTCATGGCTATACACAGGGTCTTAGAGAGAGTACATAAAACATTGAAGGGGACGAAGCATGTGGGGCTCGATATAGTCGTCTAATCGGACTCAAGATCTGCTCTCGAGATCTTGGGAAAGATACTGGGTACCACCCACTTGGTCGACGTCATCATTGATGACGTGTGCAAAATCGGGGAACTAGGGGGCAAGGTGACAATGCAGTGGATACCTGGCCACGTCAACGTCAGTGGCAACGAGACAGCAGACACTCTAGCGAAAACCGGGCCTGCCCAGCCTCAGCCAAAAGTACCAATAACTTACTTGGGAATTAAAAACTTGCTTGCGGACCATTTCAGGTCGAAGTGGTATAGGCAATGGGCAGACAAAACGACCGTCAGGAGTCTTTTCAAACTTGCCCACTCCTAGCAAACAAGACCCTTGGTAGGGGAAGGCCGCAGACAGCAGAGCTTAGTGACGCAGATGCGCTCCGAGCACTGCCCCATTGGCACATCCTTCTGGCGGCTGGATAACAACTGGGATCATACCTGCCGGCATTGCAGCCTGGCCCCGGAGACTCTAGCGCACCTGTTGACCGAAAGTCCATCACTAGATTTCCCAGGGGAAGCCAGGGCGGTTGGAGAACCCATTGTGAGGAAAATGTTGTATGGCTCAGCTCAACAGATGGAGTTGATAGCCAATTTACTAGCCGGGGTCATAAGAGAGTAATCTCAGACATTTACCAGAATATGTGTTAGTTAGTTCATGTGTTAGACGATGTAGCGCTTCCTGAAATCGGCACCTGTGGCGATTGACCACTTCATCACCCTCTTCGCACAGCCCTGGCAGCGAATAAAGAATTTCATTTATACATTAAGACCTTTCCTCTCAGTCTTTCCAATGAAACTTGTGATACGTCAGTAAGTTGGTTTAGAAATTTTAATTGTTCCGAAGAAAAATTATTTTGCTAATTTTTTTTATGAACAATTAGTTTTGTTCACTCTGAATTATTAACCATGTAAATATTCAAGACAGTGAACACTTACGTATAATTTATCAACGCATTTAAATAAATTCACGTGATTGCTATTCTTTTTTTTTGTAAATGAGTGTAATGTGTCATAACTGATGTGTAGTGAGTCATAACTGGTGTTTGGTGTGTCATAACTGGTGAGAAGTCGGTAATTATGAAGGGATTGTGAAACGCGTTTAGATAAGTGTGCTCCTGATATTGCTAAGGGTGAAAGAAACCCATTTCGGGGCATTGGAGATGTCTTTATCCAGAGATCTGTATCCGTTTTGTTTCTTTTGCGAGTTAAATAAATGGAGAAAAAAAATATCGGACTTGCGCTGCGGCTAGTCCGGTAATGAAAGTTTAATTTAAGTTTCTCTCAGCTTCTCTCAGAAATTACAGCTTTTTTTATGCTGCTAAGCCTTTTTGTCTACTGTCTGTAAACATCCACTTTTCACCAATCTCATTTTCTTTAAATGTCCCTCTTTTTTTTTATTTCTTAAGACCGTATTTTATTAAAAAGGTTGGAAACCTATGACCCACGAGTTTCATTCTGCCCTCGACATCTTTTTCATCCCGCCCGCGTCGACAATAGGGATTTGAAAGTCGCAGACTTTGGAGCCTTTTATACGTGTAAGTAGGCTTTCTGATAAGGTAAGGTAAGATAAGATAAGATAAGATAAGGTAAGATAAGGTAAGGTAAGATAAGATAAGGTAAGGTAAGGTAAGGTAAGATAAGGTAAGATAAGATAAGATAAGATAAGGTAAGATAAGGTAAGATAAGATAAGGTAAGATAAGGTAAGATAAGATAAGGTAAGATAAGATAAGATAAGGTAAGATAAGATAAGGTAAGATAAGATAAGATAAAATGCTTTTATTAATTAAAATCAATGAAAATTTGTTTTGATTGCATGGCACATATTGTTTTGGATGACCACATTTGAAGTACCTCACAACTGATTGGTGGTAAAAGTAAATGCCCTGAAAGGACAGCTTTGGTTGTAAAAATGTGCAAGGCTGTTTAAACTGTTGGTTGTTGCAAGATTCATGTTGGAATCTGAATTGAATGAATGGAATTATCTGACTTTTTTTTTTTTTTTTTTTTTTTTAGAAAAGCAGTAATTTCTAGATTCATTTTCCATTGAGGTGGGGACAATCTATTCGTCCTTTCCCCTTCGTATCTCCCCGTCGTCTTAAAAAACAACAACAAAACAACAACCACCTTGATGACCTTTGCATCAGTGCATGGGAAAGGATAAACTTAAGCTTTTCGACAATGGGCATAATTGGATGACAATTCGAATCAAAAAGAAAAACAAACAAACACAAACTGATCGACCTCGACCTTACATCTTTGACAGAAATGGGATACAGCTGCGACCCGTTGAAGTCGGGGATGATGAAGCTCAACCGGTCGACGAAAGACGCCTTCACCCTCTCTGAGTCCTCCGGTCTCACGGCCTCCCAACGGTTGCAGACGAAGATGGCCGTGTTCGGGTCGAAACCCTCCCGACGCTCCGAGGCCTTGAGCAGCAGCTGGACAAGCTGTCAAGTGGATGTTAAAGGTTGTGTTTTGTGTTTCGTTATTTTGGGGCCTGGTTTTTTCTTGGGTCTTATTCTTTAAGTATTGTATGTTGTTACAGCTCCCTTCCAAACAAGAACGTACCAGCAATGACGCGTGGCCGTTATTATTAATATGAATGTGCGTGTATGTGTGTGTGTGTGTGTGTATCTACCTGTCTTGTGTGTCTGTGTGTTGACTGGAAGAAATAGATAATGCAGATCAAAGATAATTATAGATAATGTTGTATTGATATAGGAGCTGTGGGTATATTAAAATCGTACGTGCGAGAGGAAATAAATGATCCAAGAACTGGTGTGAAACTAAAAATCACTTATTAGTATGTTGACTATAAAAATGAGTCAGTAGAAGCTATTGTATATTCCAGGAAGATGACAGAGTATGTTTGACCCATTTTAATTTTTTTTCCTTACAAGATAGGGGGATTTGCAATGAAAATGAAAGTGGCAATGGGATGATACTCTTATTTATTGTGATGTTGACGATACTAGTAACAGAGGGACCGGTTACATACACTGTGAAAACCTGTTACTAACCCTGTGTTTTGGCATGGACGATGTAGCATCAATGACGTAGATTAAGCCGGAAGCCTTTGCTAGATAATTGGCTAGAGTCTGCGACAAGGCTGCTGTTTCGCAAACCCCAGGACTGTCCACTATCGTAACGCCACACTGTAATAAACAGAATCATTGAAACAAATTTTTTTAATCTAATATAATATTAGTCCAACAAAATTTCTTTCAGCTAGTTCAAGTTCAAGTGATACAATCTGTTGGTATCGTTAAGCAATTCACATGAGACCTCTTAACTCCAACAACAAAAATATGTTTTTCCTGTTTTCCAAATGGAAGATGACGTAAATATGTTGCCACTGATTTCACGAAATAAAAATTCCCGATAACTGCGCTAAATGAGATTCGTAAAATATCGCAAGTGCTTTTGATGTGTAACATATTTTATTTTATTTTTTTTTTTCTTAAGCAGTTGGTGAAATCAATATGCCGGTGGGACATTAAAATAGTAATATTAAATAAAACAATTAAAAATACATATACATGATTTATACCAAAAACTCTGTTTTTAAAGTTGTTTTTTTAAAATATAATTTGACCTGCTTGCCATTTTATTCCTCTAATTTATTTTAATTACATTCCCCCCACCGAAAAAATAAATTAGATGTAACATCGCCTACCTGCAAACATTCCAAAGGCCAGAAGACGACTACCTTCTCAAAGGGGCTGTCATCTGTCGTGGGGTCTCTCTCTGTTATAATGCGTTTGAGTTCATCCTGTAATGTCTTCTCGCTCCCGTCACTGGACGCGGACTTTACCTGAACACAATGTGTTTTATATATCAACTCATCTTCGACACAATGCTGTCCACGCACCCTCTCGGGGCCTCGTGGGATTGAGATCTCCAGAGACAAAACACTCGTAGAACGAACGGCTATCTCTACATACATATGAATTTGGTGTGGGTGAGCAAAATGTATAGTTCTCTAAGTCTGTAACGATGAGTATTTCATGAAAGAAATATGATTGATAAAATATATTTTACAAAATGCATGATAACTGAACTGAGTGGAAAGATCGTTAACCGGAAGGTCAAACATAGTAACCATCATTTACCTTATTGATACAGAGTTGTATTTAATTTTATTTGTTAGTTTTCATATTGAGCTTTACATTTCATAAGAGATTTTGTTGTAAAACTTTTAACGTAGATTTTTATTTGCGTAGTGCACATGTCTGATTTGAAATTGTAATTATCGTGTTAAGATGTCNTATATATATATATATATATACTATTTGTATACTTTTCAATTCTTCCTCAATAAATCGCCTCTTTAAATGAAGTCACCAAATCTTTGGCATAAGCATGATCTGACCCATTTTCTAAGCCAAGTCATCTGTGCCCTATCAAAATCATAACACTGCACCTATAAGACTTCTGAACGTCTTTTTACCTGTCTTGGTGGCACTGAGCCGCCTGTCCCATTCTTCGAGTAGACATAGACCTCGGGGACGGCTCCATACTTAATCTCCACGACGGCCGAGGTGCACCTGAGAACGCCGGTGGGCAGAAGGTCCTTGTTGATTAACATATTGATGAGGCTAGATTTCCCAGAACACGTCTCACCTAAACATGTGAAGGTCAACATTTCTTTTTTTACTAACTTAAACTTCATACTTCGAATAGGGAATGCAATAAAGAAACATGCTCTTTTGGGAGCAAACGTGGGGGGGGGGGGGGAAGGATGGTGCTGCACTTAATGAACAATTACACTCAATATCTTATTATTGATATTGTTTATTATTTTACCGCGAAACAACAAAGCAATTAAATCAATACTTTCATCATATGTTTTAGAAACGTATACTTTTTGTTTAAGCCAAACCATATTTATGTGTGCATTTATATATAAGTAAGCATTTAAGAAGGGGTGGGAAAAGGCGGTGGGCGGGCATAAATGCCCTGCTGAAATGTTAAGCTTCCTAGAACTGGATTAGTTTTTACGCAGTCTTTACAAATTGTGAATAATTGTATCTAAAAGCGTCTGAGCATTAATCACCACAGTGTAAAATTGTATACTTAATAACAGTAACATAAAATGTAAATTGAAAACAATAATATTCAACTGCCTAATTGCGTACTGATCTCCCAATGAATTTTCGGAACCCATCTCCCGCAACAAGGATGACTACCATACTTAAAAATTCGCATGGGTCCTGCTAAAAAACCAACAAATGTCCTTGTGGCCATCTGGACAAAGAGTTTTGCCCTCCCATTACTAACAAGATACTTTTAAAAAAGTTTGATTGGTAGAAAATTCATTTGTGTTCATTCATTTATTTAAATAATACGCACCAGCCACCAAGATCTCACAAGTAGGTGTATTTAATTCTTCATTGTAACAGGACAGCTGTTCTTTATAATTGGGAAACATCATTTGCAAATTATCCTGGAGGATGAATCAACAAACTGTTCGCATAATTACAAATTTTGCTGTATGTTATAGATTAAATACATTTTATAATAGGGCTCGAATTATTTTTAATTTAGTGCAATAATCATGTGAATGAACTTAACTGTTTTTTAATAACTACATAAATAAATATAAATATATATATATATATAAAAATTGTACAGTTTGCGTACAACGGGTACGCAAGCTAAATGGTAAAGGCTGAAGGAAATAGATGAAAAAGTTATATGGAAGCTTGAACTAGAAGGACGAGACAGTAAAAGAAGAACGTATTGGCTAAGAGCCTTCTTTACAGACGGGACAAATAAAATTTAAACAAAAAAAAAGAAGAAATATAAAGTGTTTTTTTAGAAAGCTTAAGTGGTCGCCATTAATGTTATTGCCGGAAGTAGGGTTTTTCAAAATTAAGATTATAGGAAGTAAACGAATGTATGTATTATATCTTAGAAAATAAGATTTTTTTCCCTCGATAATATTTTTTTTTTTTAAATATAAGAAATAAGAAAAGAATTATAGGGATTGAGGATAAGCAGTAAGAGAGAATTTGATTAATTCCATATGATGATATTGTGCCAAAAAAACTGATTTATTTATTGACTTTTCTAACTCTCACTGATGTGTTAGCGCAGGAAACCAGTTCCATTTATTTTTCATTTGCCCTGTCTGCAAAACGTTCTCCTTTTAATATCCCGTCTTGTTTATTTCAAGCCTCCACACGTACCTTGTTCTACTATTTCCTTCACACATCTTGAACGCAGCACTTCATTTATAATAGTCACGTTTAGCAGATTGTGTAATCAGTATGTCAATTTAATTTTTAACTGCAATAGTTGACCGGCACGTGTGTGCGTAATTGTGACTGTAATAGTTGTATAAATATTCGCCAGAATGGCATCCCAATTGCAATGGTTGAGCAGTGTGTTGCAGGTATTTGTAACTTTATGAGTACAGTTGAAGTTATGTATTTTAAGATGCGGCTGAATGTGTATTACGAGCAACACGTTAGTTGTAATAAGTGGATGGGAAATGAGTTTAAAATTTTCCGTTTAAACCTGATAGGGCTGGGGTAGCCCTTGGAGGTATTCTCCAATTCTCGCCAGCAGCCGTCTCAGGTAAGCTCGGTTGCCTCTGTCTACATTAACCGCTGCTGCGAGGGCTTCCCTCTCCACGATTGGTCCCTGCGGGATGAAATAAATGCTTCACGTTTAAGTGCACCTGTAACATCCGCTATGGAATTCACTGCTGTTTTCTAACTGGATAAATTATATATTATTGTTATACAATCGTGGATTTATATTTTCATAATTAAAAAAAAGCAACTAAATTGTTGTATTATACATTTTTTTTAAAGTTAAAAAATTAATTTAAAGTAAATGAAAAGACTTGATTTAGCCAAAGAAACTCTAAAGCGTTGATATTTCAATTCAATTTTTTAAGTCTGCCAATTTAAGTTTTGCAATCGAATCTTCTAAAAATAACTTTTCCCTCTTCTCATTGAAATAATTTTAAAAAAAAAATATATTCTTTCTTTCAATAAAGATTTAAGCAGACAATGGTAAAGATGTACACAGTTATTCGATGAACTCTTCAAAAAATAATTTCAATAATTTTTTTAATAATTTTTTTAAACAACCACTAAAAGCAAAGTTTTACAGTAAAAGTTCTTTTTATATGCATTTTGTTTGTTGCAATTGTCTAATTGTATCATTTAATAAGAAGTGGAATGGTAAATTGGTAAACACCTGAAAGTCAAAGATTCCATCGATTCTTATCTAAGACTATCCGTTTTAGATATTGTCTCTCACTTCATCATAACACTGTATATTATATGATATACCGTACGTTTATTTCAATTCACAACATTGATCAGTTTATTTCACATTATAAGTTTACTTTCTTTCATCGTCACACTGCATGGTTCATTTTACACTGTACGTCAATTTCACTTCATCACAACACTAAATAGTGCCTTTACACTGTACACAAAAACAAAAACAATTCACTTGTTAAACCAACGAAAGTTCTACTTTATTACGTCCTGCAGAGAATAAGTACCAGGCAAAAGCCCCACCGTGAATGTAAACAAAACTATTGTAACTGTCTCTGTCTCTCAAATCTTTTTCTCCCCATTGACCCCCACCCCCCACCCCCCACCCCCCACCCCAAGCCCCCCACAATCCACACACGCGTCCTTGACACGACAAGAGTTTACACTCATTCACTTTAATCTACCCCCCACCCCCCACCCCAAGCCCCCCACAATCCACACACGCGTCCTTGACACGACAAGAGTTTACACTCATTCACTTTAATCCAATTGTCACGATAACAATGCACAACGCACCGTTGATTCCACGGACTTAGAACTGGCGAAAACACGTTTCATATTTCCTTCATTTTTTCCCCTTTCAAAATTACATTTTATTTTTTACTGCATACCCAATTACGTCACAAATACAAAACACGAAGCAACAGCTGCACAATTGATCTCCACAGCAAAACATGCAACCATTTGAACAAATCATATTTCACACTTCTTCTATTTGGAAAAAAGAGGAAAAACGGATTTTTGGTGTGGCCGAAAATTTTTTGATAAAATGTGTTGTCATTGTCGAGTCTTTTTACCACGTTTTCGGGGGGAGGGGGGAGTTGATTTTGATGACGGGAAGTGGGTCAATTAGCCGTCCGAAATTTTGGGCCTTTAATACAGAAACACACGAACAAAAGCGATGTTGATATAAAGGATAAAAAAAAATAAAATTAGGTGAATGCAATAAGTAAAATAACTCTTTCGGCCGGCAAACTGTACTCACTCTGCTGGACGGTGGCGGGATCAGGTCGAAGAGTCGTTTGATGATCATCTTGGCCTCGTCAAGCTGCGTGTTGGCCGGGAGATCGACGAGGTTGCCGATGATGCGCACGGCCTGTCAATAGGTTGAATGGAGATTGGCATTGGAGGACGGCGTGCAGGTTCAATCCGTAAGGAACACAGAAAGGTTAGATGACGTGAAGGTGGACGGACAACAACGGTTGTGCTGACACAACTGTTAGTGTCCTTCTTCGGTTTGGGGGGGGGGGGGTTCTTCTACCCCTTGTAAATTTCATCAGTTTAATAGAAAACAGAAAAGGTAAAATTTAGAAAAGGGTAGACGGGACTTAACGTATTTTCTGATGCCCCCTACAATATACACTTANAAAAGGGTAGACGTGACTTAACGTATTTTCTGATGCCACCTACAATATACACTTATAAAGTCACGAACATTAATTATTCAAAACGGCTTTAAAAAAAAATTAATTTTCATTTTTTTGTTTTTTAAGTAAAAAAATGTATAGCATCGACATAAGGCGCTAACTCAAAAACAGGTGGCGCACATTGTCATATATCATGAAAAATGTTGTGATTGGAAATATAAGTGCTATAAGTTGACCTGGATAAGCGTTGGAATGGCATCAACCTCCTCGGGTGTCTGTGGGATTCTCCCTGACATCTTGGCGGGATCTCTCGGTAACGAAGCTTACGTCAGCCCGTGAAATTGGAAGAGTACTTGAATGAAGATTCTTATGTAGGTGTAACGTGTTAAACAAAGTGTCTGGAAGCACTCTCTGTTATCATTGGCACTGCAATCCATGAATTAGTTATAATTTGTATTCCCCAACCACCCTCTCTCTCTCTCTCTCTCTCTCTCTCTCTATCTATATATATATATATATATATATATATATATATATATATATATATATATATACTTTTATACATATAGTCGTCGATGAGGTTATTAAATTGGTCAAGAAATACAACAGTATCTTTCCAGATAATTTTTTTCTTCTTTTTTTAAAATTCAATTAATGAAATGAGCGAAATAAAATTCATGGGAAAAACTGAAATAAGGACTAACAAAACAACGAACGTGTCGGCAAGAGGCCTTCCTCAACGAACTAACAACAGGAAAAACAATTTTTTCTTAAAATAAAAAAAATAACATTTAAACTGCAAAAAAGTATACGATAAGACAGCAAGGGGCCCATTCAGGTTTATCTATACTTTGTTTTGCTCAATTACTTTTACCTAATCTGATTTCAGTCTGTCTCTCTCTTTCTCTCTCTCTTTCTCTCTCTCTCTCTCCCCCCTCTCTCTCTCTCTCTCCCTCTTTCTCGCCCCCTCTCTCTTTCTCTCCCCACGTTCTCACCATCGAAATGAATGGCTCCGTTATCAACTCTTATCAAACTTATCAAGTATTACTTTACTGAGTCGACACGTCGGTGTAAAAAAAAAAAAGCTAGCTTATGCAAGCCTGACCAAAGTATGCTGACCCACCAAGATAGGCTTAAGCAAGCCTGACCAAAGTATGCTGACCCACCAAGATAGGCTTAAGCAAGCCTGACCAAAGTATGCCGACCCACCAAGATAGGCTCGCTCTATACTAAACAAACCGTGCTCTAGCCTGCGTCAGCAGAGTTCTCGATTACCGTGTGTCGTCGGGCCAGACAAATCATCAGTTTGAGAAGCCTTACATTTGTTTGATGTTGCGGATTATAAAAAAACAAAAACAATTATAATACTTTCCATTAAAGTCAGTTACTTTCCAAATATCAAATCCAATCTGGATTCTTGAATTTCCTGTTTTTTATTGTTGTTTTTTTTTGTTGTTTTCTTGTAATAGAATATGTGTTGGATGAAAAAAAAATTATCAAAATAATTTCATCTGTCCTAAAAATATATGAAAAGATGGAGGCCTAAGTCATGAAAATAAAACTCAGTGTTACGGAAAGCCCGACCAAAAAAAATCAAACTTAACAGCAACACGTTCCTCGTGCTGTTTCGCGGTTTTTTTTAAAATTCCCTCCGAGTTTTTCCTTAACCTGTTTTTTTTTTTTTTAAAGTACTTTTTGAAGAAAAAAAAAATGTTTTTTCAACGTGAACCCTGTCCTCCATATTACACTTAGCCGTAAACACACCATTCACAAAAGAACACACTGTATGAACGTCCATAGTTGTTGTGAATTCAATTTAATTTTACAGCTAACCACGTACACCTAGTAACACTGATATACCCAAGAAAACTCAACCGTTAAAGCCATAGCTTATTCCTAATAAGTTGCTTATCATCGCACATATCATTAAGGTCACGAGATCTTGATTTTAATTATATATTGTGCCACGCAGGCCTAGACGCTACACGGCTACGTCACCTGCAAGCAGGAAGCGTTTGATAAGCTATCGTGGGTTTCAATGGGCTGATCACGAGACATAATACGACGTATAATTGCCTTTGGGTTTCATGAATTGTTTTTAGTACTAAAATATTTTAAAGAGTTTAAAATGGCAAATATTTCATTTATATATTAAATTCTCTGAAATTTATAAATAATAGATATATTTATTTCATTTTCAAATTTACAGAGAATTATTTTTTAAAAAATAAATAAAAAATCTAAAATTTAGAAATACCAATGCTTTCAGTGTTATCGTGTCCTTAGTGGCTTGACTTATTTTTATTTCAACGTACTGCTAAACCGTCCAGCCCTCCCCCGTCCCTACTTTTCTTTTGTTCTGATATTGACGTCCCTGTGTAAATGTGTAGCGCCAATCCTTTTTACCCACCCCTCCCTTAAATTGGGAAAGGTTTTTTTAATTCCAAAACGTTCGATTTCTTTTAAAGAATGCTATCAGGTGATTGCAATTTCTTGAATTTCTCTTTCACATCTTTTTTTTAGTAATCACTTAAACACAATACAAAAACCAGGGGGTGGACTGGGCCGCCGGGACACCGGGAAGATTCCCGATTGGCCGCTAGGACCGGTGACATAATAAAAATAAAAGTCATGAAGATAAGGCCACGATTTATTTTTTTCCCGGGCCGCATTTTATTTTTTTCCCGGGCCGCTTTGATTTTTTCCCCCCCCCCGCTTTGATTTTTTTACCCGGGCCGCTTTGATTTTTTTCCCGGGCCGCTTTGATTTTTTTCCTGGGCCGCTTTGATTTTTTTCCCGGGCCGCTTTGATTTTTTCCCCGGGCCGCTTTGATTTTTTTTCCTGGGCCGCTTGAACTCCCCAGTCGACCCCTGACAAAAACTAACACACACAAAAAATAAAATAATAATAATTACCTTCCCGACTCATGAAAAACCGTTACTCTCCAAGAAACTTTCATTACGCTACTGCTAGGGCCGCCACGGTTCTCAAACTATGAGTACCCTTGACTCTCTTTAAGTGTTATTTCAGAAGCATTATTAGCACACACAAAAAATGCTCTCCTACCAACACATCAAGGAAAAAACTCAACTCCTCAACACAAGCAAACTTTTTATTTAACTCTCTCTGTATCTCTCCCTGTCTCTCTCTCTCTCTCTTCCACTCTCTCTCTCTCTGAGAACTCCCGTCTAGCATATCACGCCATTAGGGTTTTTCATTTCTAAGACCACAAAACGTCACATCGCATTTCGTAATGTTACTATTTTTAGACAATGTTTACGTAGACAAAATCTTACAACAATGTATTTCCATACATATAGATATAAAGAGAGAGAGAGAAAGAGAGAAAGATATATATATATATATATATATATATATATATATATATATATATATATATATATAGAGAGAGAGAGAGAGAGAGAGAGAGAGAGAGAGCAAAAGCAACAATTTGTATGTAAAATCTTTCGGAAAATAAACTTGTAAACATATTTATTACTAGGTTAAGACCTAGTGTGCCTGCTCACATTAAAGTGTGCGCCCGGATGTTCTATTAACTTTTTTCCACCATTAAAGACAAATCCTGTAAAACCACATTATCATTAAAATCTAGACTAAAAAAATTTGCAAGAGTTTCGCAAACTCACTTCATCACAGCGGTTCTCACTACCAGAGCAACCCGTGTCCTCAACAAGAACAAAACTGAGTGAACCACGACTCTCGTCTATAGCCCAACATAGGGTCCTATCCAGTGACCTCTGCTTTTATTCGTCTTACTACCCCTTGCTCTAATTTTGCTCGTCTGGCCTCCTGTGAAACATGTCAACTACCCCAACCGCGTAGCCTCCATAACCGGTCCACTTTTTAACCACCTTTTATACCCTTGTCATAAAGCGGACTTTTAAAACAGGCAAACACTCCCCCCACACTTAACAAGGGTACCAGGACCATGAACTCTCTCCGACTCCCAAGCTATATCTGCAGTCTCCCTCTCAACATTCTAAAATCTACCACGTGTTAAATGGAAAGACTACCATCTCGATGTTCTCTATTGATGCCCCAAGTATTTCTTTTTTCTATTTCCAAACTCTCAAAATCCCACGGTGCCTCATTACTATCGCTTGCTCGAAAAGTCTTCTTGACCTATTCCTTCTTCCGCTTAAAACTAACAAAGTACTTTTATCTGATCAATAACCGCTACACATCCTTTTCCCTGCACTCATGAACTTCCTCAAGGCAGTGATCTCCAAATGGCGGTCCGTGGACCTTCACCGGCCCGCATGCCTAACGCTGCCGGTCCCCAATAACATAAATATTTATTGTCAAATAGAAAAAAAATTGTAAAAATAAATCATGCACCGGTCCCTGTTAAAATTTCGAAACTTGTTCACGGGTCCACCAAACTTAAAATGTTTGGGAACCACTGTCTTAAGGTATATAAGCTTCCTTACAAGCGCTGTACTATTCTCTGTGAGCTCATGTCCACTTACTAACATAAGAGCAACTTCATGCCGTGAAGCTTCCAAGTTTCCCTAACGCCTTTGCAATGTAAACTTACTCATCATCTATCAGTTATTCCCAAACCTTATTTATAGGATTCCCCCTGAACTAATGCCTAACACTGATCTTAGCATGCAGTTTGAACAGGCTCGGGTGACCTTTCAAAATCTTAGCATGCAGTATTGACAGCCTAAGGTAAATGATACCAATATTTTACGGTTATCATCATGATAAAAAAAATTTTTTTTAAAAGTTGACCAAAAAAAAAACAACCAATAAAACAACAACAAATTTTCATCATGTTCTTGTTTCTGTTGTTGTCCCAAGCCTTATTCTCGCGTCTCCAATTCAGCTCATTGCCATTTACGATAACCCCGGTTTGTTTCCTCGGTAGTTTAACACGTCTTCTTTTATTGTCGGCCTTTAGTGGTGTCATTATTATCTAAGGCAGTGGTTCTCAACCTTCCTAATGCCGCGACCCTTTAATAGAGCTCACCCTGTTGTGGCGACACCCAGCCACAAAATATTTTCGTTTCTCCTTCTTAACTATAGAGCGTTTGGGTTTTCAGTTGGTCTTAGGTGACCCCTGGAAAAGGGTCGTGCGACCCCCAAAGGGGTCGCGACCCACAGGTTGAGAACCGCTGATCTAAGGCAAAGCAAAAAAAAAAAAAAAAAAATCATGATATTCTTTATTATTAACCTGTGTGCCTCCTAGAAATAACTCGATGTATGACTATTTCAACATCATCTTCAGGTGTCGCGCGACCATGTTTAATCTCACGTTGGTTTAACATTAGCAGGGTTAATATAAGTAGATTTAACATCATAAGGTTTAACAATAGTAAGTTTAACAATTTTTATAATTTAGCGTCGGGCTACCATTTACTTTAAAATTTAAAAAAATGCGCACCCTTGCTTCATCTTAAA